GGATGTTATGTCAGTCGAAAGCTACACTCATGCACCACACAGTCATCACATCAAATCAGTACACACACACAAGGGGGCACGTTGCATTCTTTCTGGATATAATCCATAATCTGACAATTCAAACGGAGGTTTTCATCCTCAACCAAGACTTTTCTGTGTCAACCAAGCACATGTCCGAATATTACAGAACAACTACCCATCGCCCTAAGCAAATGAAACATTTTTGGTGACACGGATGACAGAAAATTAGAGTTAATCAATCGAAACCTAGAAACCGATGTTAAGTAGAGAGTGGGAACCACTTGGACATCTTTTAGTGATTACAGTACCTGGGTCACGNTCACATAGACCTAACGATAAACAACCATTACCTATCATATCCAAAGCGACCGAGATAACAAAAGAGGGGGGTTGCGACAATACAGAGGCTGACTTGTTTGGAATAGTTGTGCCAAAATAGTTACACAGAAGCCAACTGCATTGTGTTCGATCGTATGTGTGGATTTGATCGATCGATTGTCCGCTGACAATGGACCACGTCACGGTGAAGACTACAGTGTGGTCGGTGTTTCCAAGGTCTTTTGCATCACAAATCACTGTACTGTGTCACATTTTACGAAGATACATTACCGGTTAGGTTAAATGGATTTTATGTTTGCAACACATTTTTGGCTATTGAACCACATTTTGCTAGTGGCTGGAATTTGTTAAACAGTTAATCAAAGTCCTATTATCATAACCTGTAGGAAGCGAAAATGTGAATCCATTGACTTGATTGAGTGAGCAGAAACGGTGAGCCTCGACAGGTTTTCAAATAACTCCTAAATCGAAGCCCACCAGATCAAATGGCCAAGCCTGATGGCATAGGTGCCTTGAATGCTCTTGATTAAAACGGCAAGTAAACAAGTTGGTATCCTTATAAAGCAGAGCAGAAATATCAAAATGCAAGACATGCTCAAATTGAGCCAGTAACAAAGGACGAGTTGTAATACATCTCTAAACGCATGGATGAGACTTTTAATAAATATCCGATAGAAGTAAAAATTGCAAAAACTCCTTCTGGCTACCAATCATGGCGTATTAAACCAAGCTGTTTTACCCCGACTACATGCATTGTCTTGCAAACAAGCAGGCCGGGCACACTGACAGACTGCTCTGTGTACTGCCCCGAGGTTTTCGAATGAGCAATTATACAATCGGGGGATTATGGCAGGACATCCACACACACGCACACACACATATGCGCACACACACAAACATCATCGATATTGTTTCAAACCCATCAAAAACTGTAAATTCCTGTTACAAGTTTGCCTGAACACAAATTGAATGTGTTGCTTTTAGTCGTATCTGCCAACAGACCGCGCGTGTATCACTCCAAATGTTGTTCTGCAGAGAAGATGCTTGGCGAACGAAGTTTTGTTCTCGAAACACAAATATGTGTAGTTTTTTTAATGGCCAAAAATATTTGGGCTATTTAGTGAATTGTTTGTGCAACTATCAAACCGTTCCGTTTAAAAACAGTAAGTGGAATACGGTTGCACATCGTTACGGAGTAATAGGTTCTGGTGCAGACTGCAAACTGACATGATCAACAGTTTTCAAACATTAACGCTTTTCGCCCGCCCCCCTCCAGCAAGCGTTGTTGTTGGCGGTAAAATAAGATAAAAAATAACAGTCATTCAATTTCTAGACGGAACCATGGGTGATGACGCAATCCGATAATAAATGTATATTTACAACAGGTGGACCAAGTGTATTGGCTTTATGGTCACCTAACCAATGCAAGTAAGATTGAATGCATATTAATTTAAAAAATGGTTCCAAAATTATTGTATCTTGTCCACTGTGGAAATTTGGCCCAAAAGGATTTTGTTTGCTGTTTATATAAATTTCTTTCAGTGTCAAAACTTCTCTACTTCCGTGGCCATTCTACCGATTTAGTCACATTTACAGTTTCCATTTCAATGGGACATCTCCCCTTTCTCACTGATTTATCACTCCTTATGTGATTTATGTATGAGGCATTCAGGTTTCGCTCCCGAGGTCTACTTTTATTCGCCTCATGTTTTGTCAAAATCTACTGACGATAAAACTTCTGTCCAATGACCGACAAAGAGCCATGGATAACCACTTTGTCCTTGCCAAGATTCGCACTTAGTGTGT